ACAACTTTTTGTTCCCAGTAGCTAAATCTATAACAACAACTTGGAATGTTGACCTGGATTCAACTACGAGGTTGTTTATAACAACAACAACATTGGAGGTTGTGAGGTTACGACGCTCGTAACTGGATACAAGTTGTAAACAAAGCCACCGTGAATAAGGAAGGATGAAGAGGTTTCGCAAGTGGTTGTATAAATGAATCCTTGGTCGTGTCAAGGTGGACAAGGACCCTTCAGAACACCCTAAGGAGCGTGAACCGATCAGAACACACCCTGGGGGGAACATGAACCGATCAGAACACACCCTGGGGGAACAAGAACCAATCAGAACACACCCTGGGGGACAGGAACCAATCAGAACACACCCTGGGGGGAACAGGAACCGATCAGAACACACCCTGGGGGGAACAGGAACCGATCAGAACACACCCTGGGGGGAACAGGAACCGATCAGAACACACCCTGGGGGGAACAGGAACCGATCAGAACACACCCTGGGGGGAACAGGAACCGATCAGAACACACCCTGGGGGGAACAGGAACCGATCAGAACACACCCTGGGGGAACAGGAACCGATCAGAACACACCCTGGGGGGAACAGGAACCGATCAGAACACACCCTGGGGGGGAGGCTTAGAAGGAATGGTGCCCAACCACTTGTGGACGGTCGGGGATTGAACGCCGACCAGCATGAAGCGAGACCTTCCCCTCTACCGTCCAGCGGGGAGAGAAGGTGACGGGTGAGGGGTGAGAGTGAGGGGTGAGAGAAAAATAAAAGTTGGGGTGAGAGGGAGGGAGGCAGGTTAGCGGGGATTGAGCCAGGTCTCGCTCTACCTCTATTCTTCCCATTATCGCCCACATCCAGCTCCCCCACGCCCACAGGCCCACCCCCACGCCCACAGGCCCACCCCGCGCCCACAGGCCCCCCACCCCCCCGCGCCCACAGGCCCACCCCGCGCCCACAGGCCCACCCCGCGCCCACAGGTCCACCCCGCGCCCACAGGTCCACCCCGCGCCCACAGGCCCACCCCGCGCCCACAGGTCCACCCCGCGCCCACAGGCCCACCCCGCGCCCACAGGTCCACCCCGCGCCCACAGGCCCACCCCGCGCCCACAGGCCCACCCCGCGCCCACAGGTCCACCCCGCGCCCACAGGTCCACCCCACGCCCACAGGCCCACCCCACGCCCACGCGGGCGGCGCTGCAGACGGTGGGCGGCGCCAATGAGATGCAATAGCTCATGAAGATGCCTTATCACGCCTCCTCTCTCTGGACAAACAATTTCAAACACCTCGATTTATGGCGGCAAGTATTCACACTTCTGTCTGTCCTCTCGCTGTCTGTCTGTCTGTCTGTCTAGTCCCCGTCCGGTCCTTTCTCTCTCTCTCTCTCTTGCCGTCTGTTCTGTCTCACTTGCTGTCCATTTACCGTCTATCCCGTTAAACTGGCTGTCTATTTCCCGCTTCTTTTAGCTGTCGTATTCTCTCTAGTTCCCGTCTGTCCTGTCCTTTCTTGCTCTCTAGTTCCCGTCTGTCCTGTCCTTTCATGCTCTCTAGTTCCCGTCTGTCCTGTCCTTTCATGCTCTCTAGTTCCCGTCTGTCCTGTCCTTTCTTGCTCTCTAGTTCCCGTCTGTCCTGTCCTTTCATGCTCTCTAGTTCCCGTCTGTCCTGTCCTTTCTTGCTCTCTAGTTCCCGTCTGTCCTGTCCTTTCTTGCTCTCTAGTTCCCGTCTGTCTGTCCTTTCTTGCTCTCTAGTTCCGTCTGTCCTGTCCTTTCTTGTTCTCTAGTTCCGTCTGTCCTGTCCTTTCTTGCTCTCTAGTTCCCGTCTGTCCTGTCCTTTCTTGCTCTCTAGTTCCCGTCTGTCCTGTCCTTTCTTGCTCTCTAGTTCCCGTCTGTCCTGTCCCTTCTTGCTCTCTAGTTCCCGTCTGTCCTGTCCTTTCGTGCTCTCTAGTTCCCGTCTGTCCTGTCCTTTCTTGCTCTCTAGTTCCCGTCTGTCCTGTCCTTTCTTGCTCTCTAGTTCCCGTCTGTCCTGTCCTTTCTTGCTCTCTAGTTCCCGTCTGTCCTGTCCTTTCATGCGCTCTCTCTAGTTCCCGTCTGTCCTGTCCTTTCGTGCTCTCTAGTTCCCGTCTGTCCTGTCCTTTCGTGCTCTCTAGTTCCCGTCTGTCCTGTCCTTTCTTGCTCTCTAGTTCCCGTCTGTCCTGTCCTTTCATGCTCTCTAGTTCCCGTCTGTCCTGTCCTTTCTTGCTCTCTAGTTCCCGTCTGTCCTGTCCTTTCTTGCTCTCTAGTTCCCGTCTGTCCTGTCCTATGCTCTCTAGTTCCCGTCTGTCCTGTCCTTTCATGCTCTCTAGTTCCCGTCTGTCCTGTCCTTTCTTGCTCTCTAGTTCCCGTCTGTCCTGTCCTTTCATGCTCTCTAGTTCCCGTCTGTCCTGTCCTTTCATGCTCTCTAGTTCCCGTCTGTCCTGTCCTTTCTTGCTCTCTAGTTCCCGTCTGTCCTGTCCTTTCTTGCTCTCTAGTTCCCGTCTGTCCTGTCCTTTCATGCTCTCTAGTTCCCGTCTGTCCTGTCCTTTCTTGTTCTCTAGTTCCCGTCTGTCCTGTCCTTTCGTGCTCTCTAGTTCCCGTCTGTCCTGTCCTTTCTTGTTCTCTAGTTCCCGTCTGTCCTGTCCTTTCATGCTCTCTAGTTCCCGTCTGTCCTGTCCTTTCGTGCTCTCTAGTACTCACCTAGATGTGCTCGCACGGTCGAGCGCTCTTTAGGGGCACTGAAGTTCCCAGTCCTCGCGGTCGCCTCCCAGATCGTCACCTCTGGGTTCGACACCCAGTAAAAAAAAAATAAATGCAACTGAATATCCCCCTCCGCAGTAAAGGAACGGACCCGGCCCAACCCCTGTGCCAGGTAAGTCCACTACGGGCTCACCATAGCCCGTGCTACTTGCAACTGTTGGTTCCCAGTAGCTGCTACAACGACGTACGAACCCAAACAACCCATTTAACATATCGAGGCTGCTATATATACTTAGAAAACGGCAGTATTGAGATGCTTTTATGTTTTTCTAATGCGTCGCATTATTAACGGATTCGTCGATTCTGTTAATAAAAAGAAACACATTGGACGTGTTAGGTTGAGAACCGGTTGCAATAGGCTTTGTTTTCTGGGGTTAGGTTGAAGGGGAGGAGGGGGGGGGGGGAATTTGTTGTTTCCCGCGCGTATTTACGGCGCTGTTAAATCTCCCATTTACGCACGCATGCGCAGTAATGATGAGGTGCGTGTGAGCGCGCGCTCGGCCAGTTAGCGCCGGCGCCTGCGCATTCCACACATCATTGGAGCAATCCCGCGCCTCGGTCATACAATTGGGCCCCAACACCTTTAATATTATCCACCGAAGGAGGCAATTACGACGCGCGCAGGTCGCAATTCACGCTCCTTGTGTTTCCATCTGATAGCAGGAAGCCTGGCAGCGATAGCCTAACTCATTTCCATAATGATCGTGCGGCTGGCAACTCCACCACCCCCTTCGCGCGCATATACTTTCCCCGAAGTACATAATACCGTAGCGGAGTAAGCCGACCCCTGGCATCTGGTGCCGTTTATCAATCTCGAATTGGCGAAATTGGTGATCATCCGAGCACTTTAAGGGGAGATGGTAGCTTGATGGTAGTCGTCGGGAGATTGTCGGCCACTCCTCCTTCCCCGCCAATTCCCGTCCCTTAGGTTTGCTGCCGGGCCGCCGCCATCAGCCCGCGTCACCCGCCTGAGTCTAGATGCGCCGATACTCAACCGAAATTCTCTGTATATACATAACAGACTCTTGCTTTTTTGTCTCTCTGGATCAATATTGACATGGTTTCTCGGTACTACTTGAAGGAGGAGGAATAGGGGGGAGGTGGGGGTGTTTCATATTGAATATTAGCTTTTTTTCTTATTAGTCATTTTTAAATATGATGTACGATAACTGGGCAGACGTGATTATTTTGCAATTTCTTCACAGTCGTATTATGTAAATTAGTGTTGTTCTTGGTCTCTCCACAAACAGTTTTTGGAGATATTTTTACGCCTTGTGTTAATTGAAGTTGGGCGAGGAGTTTGTCTTCTCGTAATGACTCGTGTGTTCCGGAGTTTTTCTCGAGAGATTTTTTTATATTTTAACTAAACGCTCGCTAACTGTCGTTTGGCAGCAGTCGTTGAATATCCTTGTTTCTGCCGTTGTTGATAGAGGCGGCCTGCGTGAAGGGGCGTGCGCGTTCAGCGTATAGGCTGTGTAAAGGTTGCTCAAAGGCTGTATTAAGGTTGTGTAAATGTTGCGTAAAGGTTGCTTAAAGGCTATGTTAAGGTTGTGTAAATGTTGCGTAAATGTTGTTTAAAGGCTGTTTTAAGGTTGTGTAAATGTTGTTCAAAGGTTGTTTTAAGGTTGTGTAAATGTTATTTAAACGCTGTTTTAAGGTTCTGTAAATGTTGTTCAAAGGCTGTTTTAAGGGTTGTGTAAATGTTGTGTAAAGGTTGTTTAAACGTTGTGCAAAGACTGCACAAATGCTGCAGAGAGCTGACTGCATAAAAGAAGTGTAAAGGGTTTGCAAAAGCTGCTAAAAAGGGTGCCCCTACTTCCCCCCCCCTTCCCCTTGCCCCTAATTTCCTCTCTTTTGTCCCCTATTTCCACCCCTCCTTGCCCCTACTTTCTCTCCTTGCCTCTGTTTCCACCCCTTTTCATCACATTCTCCTTCGTTTATTCTTTGTTATTATCTCCCTACTCTTCTTACACTTTACTCCTTCTCTTCTCTTACTTCTCCTACTTTCTCTTCATTACACATCAACATTATCTTCACCCCTATTCCTCATACCTAATCAATTCTCTACTCTTCCTCATACCTTAAACCTTTCCACTTATCTTCCTCATACCTTTTTCACTTCTCTTCCTCTTTATTTTACACTCTTCCTATATATCCTCTGCTTTCTCCTCTTCCATTTACCACCTTCCTTCTCCTCCTCTACTTCTGTTCCATCCTTTACCCCCT